AGCAAGCGATTTTGAAAGAGTTACGACCCAGCGCACGAACACGATTTGAGCAGCTCAATGGTCTCAAGCTTGGAGATCGCAAGCCGTCGGCATTGCTCCGCGAAATTCGGCGCATCGCTGGTCCCTTGTTCTTGAGCGAAGAAGGGATAAAGGAGCTGTGGTTTGCACGTCTCCCAGAGCCATTGCCGGTAATGCTGTCCATGTTTATAGATGCACCCTTGAAAGACTTAGCTACCAAGGCAGACGCTGCGTTCGAACGTTTTCCGCAGCAGACGACCAGTAACTCTGGTGACGTATTCTCACCGATGAAAACCGAATCTCATGTCTTTTTCTAGTTGCTAGACCGATCTGACTCTAAAGACGAGGAAATTGCGCTACTTCGCAACAGGATAGCAGCAATGAAGGCTTCAAAGCAGCGTGTTCCACGGTCAAATGCTGACCACGTTTTGGCTACTGTTCATTGCGGCTCGTCTGTGCCTGCACCGAGTACGTCACGTTCGGCACGAAAGCGCCACATTTTCCTTACAAGTTCTCAGTCAGATAATGTCAAACACGTCGAAGAAGTATGTTGGTATCACCGCCAATACGGTGGAAGAGCTAGACGTTGTCGGGCTCCCTGCATTAGGCACGACCCAGGGAAAACGAATATCCCGCATACTAGCACTACAAACGTATCATTTAATAACCAAGTAAACCGACTGTTTTACGTTAAGGGTCGACGTTCTTCCATCACGTTCCTCATCGACACAGGAGCGGAAGTCAGCGTTATCCCAGCGACCGCTAGCGACAAGCACTCGAAGCCTACGTACAATTTGCTTGCGGCCAACGGTTCTCCGATAGCTTCATTCGGTCAGCGCATGATGAACCTAGACCTCAATCTTCGCCGAGATTTTCAGTGGGTCTTCATGGTTGCATCTGTATTCTTCGCAATTATCGGTATCGACTTCCTCCGACATTTTGGGTTGCTTGTTGATGCTGGTCGCCACAGACTTTTAGACGACCGTACGAAACTAGGTGTTGATGGTGTCCTTTCAGATGCCCCGATAATCAGCCCTGTATTTCGGATCGCAGACGTACCGTCCGACTACTTGAGCCTCCTCTCCGAACACCCGCGACTGGTTCGACCGGCTGCAGAGCTTCCACCAGTCACGACAGAGGTCGCTCACCACATAGTTACGCGCGGTCAACCAGTTAGCGCACGGCCAAGACGGCTTGCTCCAGACAAACTACGGGCAGCACGAGCCGAATTTGACCACATGCTTCAACTTGGTATCGTCAGACCGTCCAAAAGCCCATGGGCGTCGCCTCTGCACATGGTCCCGAAGAAGGTTGTGGGGGACTGGCGTCCTCGCGGGGACTATCGATCCTTGAATACGGTAACCACGCCTGATCGCTATCCGATCCCACACATAGTGGATCTCACCGCCAATCTGGCGGGTAAAAATATCTTCAGCAAAATCAACTTGGTACGCGCATACAACCAAATCCCGGTAGCCGAGGCGGACATTGCTAAAACTGCCGTGACGACTCCATTTGGTTTGTTCGAGTTTCTGCGCATGCCATTTGGCCTAAAGAACGCCGCGCAAACTTTTCAGCGTTTCATCGACCAAGTTTGTCGCGGCTTAGACTTCGCTTACGCTTAGCTTGACGACATTTTAATCGCAAGCTCTTCACGAGAAGAGCCACATACGCCACGTACGAACACTTTCTGATCGTTTATTTCAACACGAGGTGACGGTCAACGCAGAAAAGTGTTCGTTTGGTGTCGATTCAGTTAATTTCCTAGGCCATCGTATCTCTTCTGCAGGCGTCGTGACACTGCAGGATAAAATTCAAGCAATTGTAGCGCTTGTAAATTTACTTATCTTTCATTGTACATTCCTTTCCTATTACAACCCATTCTTGTACATTAACCTTGTACACTTGTTTGATTGATAAATAACACACTTTTTGAACCACGCGGGCAACTCGACGTGTTCTCTCTGTGTTCTGGTAACGTGCTGCACAACGGTCGATGCAAGGGGTAATAAATAACAGTACCGGAGGTACATCCGACACTTGGAAATAAGAGGAATAGTATGAACATACGTCCGCGTGTGAACATGCCAATCTACGCCACCTGTGGCGCAGATGCGACATTACTCTCGCCCTGAAGGGCAGAGTTTACAACGTAGCCGTCCGTTCAACCCTCCTATTTGGTTGTGAAACCTGGCCCATCAGGTTGACAGACATGAAGAGGCTCGTCACATTCGATCATCGCTGCCTTCGCAGCTTAGCTCATGTCTGGTGGGAACACCGCGTGAGCAATGAGCCTGTTCGACGTTGCGTATTTGGTGCAGGACGAAACCGTGAAGCAGCTAAAGAAGCTGCAAAGTTTTGGTGGTGGGATGCAGCACGAAATAGAGAACGCTATGGGTTCTCGAGATCAGGCGCTCAAGTCTTTCAGAAAGTTGAAGAAGTGGCACACACAGAGTCGAGAATTGAAAGTGGGCGGGACAGTTTTGGTCGGTGGTGCGCGGAACCGAAAGGGCATTTGGAAAAGTGGATTGTTAAAAGCATCAAGAAAGACACATATGGTCGCGTGCAGGAAGCAATGGCCATGACAAGCATATTTCCCTGCAGGAATGTAAGACAACTGTGATTTTCGGCCTCATGACCATCGTTGAAGGAAGCTCTGGCACACCATGGATGAAGATAGTTCGGCTTGCTTTGTCCTTCTTCGGAGTTTCTTTTCGACTGTCGCATGTTCCACGGAACATCAGGATAGATACGTATCCCACGCGAGCCATGTTACAGCGCGTTTGCGGAGAGCAGGTTTTCCACATCAGTTGAGGATGCTAGTGTTACTCTAATAAACCTGGGCTCGCCAAAGTGTGCAGCATTTGAGTGACCAGCAATTCGTACTAAGTTTGTGGGTTTGGCTTTTACCCTCATCAGGAAGCACAGTGACTCCCATTGGTTTAGGTCGTCGGACAATTTATCTTGTACTACGACAGCTGATGATTCGGGTACGTTCAAGCACACAACAGTCAGGGCACTATTGTTAGATCCCTTTTTTATTGAGCTGCAAGGTTGGGGGATCGTTTGTCCTGACTTGCTACCAAGTGATGACTGCTTAGTGTTTGTCTCTCTATGCAAGTTAGTGGTGTTTGTAACAGAACAGACTGAAAGGGTGGCCTGTCGGGTGAACTTTGCAGCAATCGCGGCATATGTGACTGATGTTCTAGGGGACTTTGGCTCGACAATAGACCCCTGAACTGCAGATGTCGACGTTTGCTTTCCGGCTGCTTTCTACATACAGGTGTCATCAAGAATCGCGGGATTTGATTACTCACACGTTTCGGTTGCTGCCTGATTTTAGCTGTAACGGACATTGCCTCTCGGAGTTACGGTTAATTTTCGCCTGGTATTCTGCCAAAGATAGGGAAGACAGCGGCGATCAGGACCTGGTTGAGCGTGGTTCAGGAGCAACAACTAGTGCACCATTCCTTTGGTTAAATGTCCCTAGATTTAACTGGTTCAGACTTCTTCCAATGAGTTGATCTTAGTGCTCATTCGCTGCTCGGCTTCTGCTACCAACTGGTTGCATTTCTGGACTAGGACAAGCATACACTTGAAAAATGGGATGGTCGAAGGGGTAGCACAGAAACAAAGGACATCTTGAGAGATATTCATCTCTCGCACTTGCTGTTGGGATAAGCTGGCACATTTCGGATGGTACCACTTGGAACAATGCGAGCAAACAAAACCGAGCTTGACTAATCCATTACATTCTCCTGACCCGCAAACACCCTTAGCTTGAAGTTCTTATGGATGTGCACTTACTCGATGTTTGCCATTCGGCCTGGCGTCGTTACCTGAGCCAGTGGGATGACTGAGGACTGTTCCGACTTCCGTGGCGGCATGCATCGGTCAAGCGAAGGTTGAAGTTGTAAAGGTCAAACGAGCGGTCGATGGACTTGAGTTGGCTGCGTGTCGGTTCCAGGGGTATGCAGATGCACCAGCTGACAAGGCCACAAACAAAGCCGAGATGGACAGTTGTGCCAATCACTGAGATCTCCGAAAGTAACCAGAGAATATCCACCAAATTAGCAAAGATTAAAAAATACACCAAAAGAAGGATATTGGTGCACAATTCGCAGAAAGGATGTATGTGACCGTAGTTCGGAGGCAAACGTAGAATCAAGAACACGTTACTTCAAAAATCCGCGGCGTTCGTGGGCTAAGCTGAGGTTCCCGAAGCAGACCCTGAGTTTTGTTTATTCGCATCCTAGTGGTTAACCGAAGCTCATTATCACGCACTTCACCGTTGACGTGCTGGCCGCCGCTGTCCGTCTCACCGCCCCAGTTCCACAATGATCGGGAAAACAGACTGCTGGGATATATTTGGAACCGATCGCGAAGTCATCATTTCAGAAAACTTGGTAGAGGACCGGTTAATGTATTTATGGTGATGAACAATGGTTCGCTTTTGACACAAAAGCTCCATCAGACTGCTGGGATTGTTTGAGCTCACTGTTGAGAAACATTGAGGCTACGTCTACAAACCTAGTCGTGAGTCATTTACGGACACTTAAATTTACTGGTATAGAACCACGTTTACGATCTCCGCTACATATTTTGCTCCTTTCGTCCTGGGAATCAAGCCGTGCGTGTGACTAGGTATATAGAGTGCAATAATTGATCAAGTGGCACTAATATCGTGTTCGTGTCTAACGGAAATGACTATGTCCAAAATTGCTCCAAGTGCGGATTTTCCTCAGTTATTATTATTGCAAAATGCAAACGAAGGAAATCTCAATAAGATGATGAAAGATGAGCGACCAGTGCAGCAAGTGCTTTGGCACGAATTCAGTGGCAGAGAGTAATCAGAGGGAGGATGTAGAAAACATGCCCATATTTCAAACAAAAGTTGAGATGTAACGCCACAAGAGCCTCGACGAGCCACATTGAGGTGAGGCCAGAGACCAAGATAGCTCCAACGAACGCGTGAGTGAGGTTCACAGTATTGAACAGAAACGGCGATCAGAACCAGATAGTAACCATTCTGTCCAAGCTATCTTCCCTTCCGTGTAAGGGGGATAAATGGTCCTGGAAAAAGGCAACAACGCGGAGACATAGTGTTAGTATGGCAGGTTGCAAAAGCCAGATTCAAGGAAACGAACAGACTGGATGTACTGTGATACATGCAAAAGTAACGGCCAATATAAAAGACAGTGCTCGGAAAACAAAAATTAACTACCGATGCGGCAACAACCATCTTTCCAACCCAGGGTGGGTTACACTGCAGCGAAATGGCCAAGGTGTTAACCAATAGCCCAGCAGCAGACTTGGTAAAGGCTACTAAGTAGAGAAGTGGTGCCACAGTTCAATATGGTTTATGAACTCAGAAAACTAGTCAGAGGCATGCCTAGATGTAGTGGCAATACTGACAGTGGACTCGGTGAACGCAAGAAGTGGTCCGGGTATTAGCGTCAACAATAGAGTGGCAGAGGAGGGTTATGATCACAAGCTATGACGGTCGCTTAGTCGTTTTTCAGGTTGTCCAACCAATTTATTTTGATTAGATAAGGTCCAACGTACAAGCAAAGATGCCGAGGCAGAGAAGATGGAAAATGTCAACAAGATAGGCTGGCGCGGGCCACAAGAACGTGTCGTGTGGATGACACACAGGCAACGATGTGGACGATCTGACGGAAGCCAACTCTATAACGAAGCGATTGAGAAAACGATATGCAGGGAAAGTGTTTTATGAAGGTTGGTAAAAACAAGTAGCTGGAGGACTTAACGATGCTCGGGCGAAAGCAACAGTATCCATGTGAACGAGAAAGGATGATAGATTGACGTTGATCTTATGCAAATGAAAGATATGGGACATACCTTTGGTTTACTAATTCGTTGGTTGACTTAATCAGAACACCACGCAAGTGAGAGAACGTGTCCAACGAGAACTTGCCATGGTAGCGGCCGATACCAGAAGCGCCTACACCTCCGAAGGGCAACTCCGAGGCTAGGAAAAGTGGAAAATTAGTTAAATATGTGCTTAAACTGCGTACTCCTGAGTGAAATGAGGTAAACAACAATTTATTCGGTGCAGCTAGTCGATGGTGTAGAGAACAGGAGGAATTTTATTACTTAGTATTGATATTGGGTGGATTAGACGGTGTCTCATGCATGCGAATCGTATCGACCTTAGAATAATTCAATCCATACTGCTTAGGGTCTTTTGGTGGGCAGATACAAAGGTCAACTCGAAAGCCAGTAACGGCATTGCGTGACAAAACAGTAGTTCCATCCGCTGATGTGGTTTCAACGGTACAGCCGTTACCTTATCCAAAATGCAAGCAAGCCTCGAGGTGCTTTTCACCTTACGTCCGCCATTCCAAGTAAACATCAAACCAAGATAACCAATCTCATCCATTATAAGCGACAGATTAGCTTGGGGCTCCAGCAACTCGTAAAACTACCGGGTCAACCCAAAGCAAGGCTGGTAGTTAACTACGGCCTATGTTCGCGAGATCACTCAGATCAGTAGGAGAAAGATGTAGCGCGTGGATGTGCGATTCGTTTTGAACAGGCGCGCGAACACGATAAAGGACTTGGTTAATTGCTCCACAATCAACCATTAGGAAAGCTCAACAACAGAATGAAATAGGCAGGTGAAACCGAGAGCACAATGAAGATATACGCTAGGCGATTATAATCAATCACCTGGACACAAAACTAGGCGTAACTATTGGGTTGCCCCGAAATCAATCAAAGTTTTAGCACATTTGTAAATTTATAGTTAATATAAATCAATATCAGAAACCAGTTCAGGGTGAAGAATTCTTTTCGGTAAACTCTCATCGGACCCAAACGATTACCAAACACTGATAGTGTGCGGTAAGCGTCAAATCGCTGTGGCGCCAGCTACTTTGAACGGCTGCCTTAAAATTCCACGGTTACTACAGATATCTGCTGTCAGCAACTGCAAAAGATGGTCGACGAACACCGAATATATTTTCCTTCCGTGACTCGAATCCTTCTCCTGCTTGACAGCGCACGTCCCCAAGTGGCGAAATCGACGCGTCTCAAGATTCAGCAGCTCGGTATGGAGGTTGTGATACATCCAACATATAGCCCGCACCTTGCTCCAACTGACTATCACCTTCTCTGCTCCCTTCGCTTTCACATCAATCACAAGAAATTCGATGATCGCAACCACATCGAAGTGTATGTTACCCGTTGCTTTGATTGGTTGTTCTAAAAGTGAGGCATTCGCAAGTTTTGCTGAACGTTGATTGTACGTCATCGATAGCAATGAGCATTGTGTTGGTTAAATATTGTTGCTTGTTTACATTAACTATAAAATTGCAATGAATCACGGGCAATGCTGGTCTTCAGCAAAGCAAATATTCCCATTTCATTAATATGAATCAATATCAGGTAAATAATTCTTTTTGGTAAACTCTCATCGGACCCAAACGTTTACATAGCACTGATTGTGGGGTAAACGTCAACTCGGAGTGAGATTGAATTCTGGACTGTTTGAATGATCAAAGTCGATAACTTGAGACAGAGATAGAGATGGTAAACCAAGTAAATTAAATAAACATGCACAAACAAAGCTCACAAGTTCAGAGTAGTGAAGCAGGTAAGATAACAACCAACTAAGTAACAGTGTCAGTTAGCCAAGGTAGTAATATGGGCCGCCTGAATCGTTTTTGTATACATAAAATGCAGCATATCCTCAGAAGCATATCCTTCAGAGGCGCATGGCAGGAAAAGACAACACAGGGGAATTGGAGAAACAGCTGACCGGCTGCTTCAAGTGAATGATGCAAGTCAACCTCATCACGAAGAACGAATTCGAAAAGTTGAAGCCTTCAGGTGGACACCTACCGAGATTATATGGCCTGCCTAAAGTTCACAAGTAAGGCATCGCAATGCGCCCAATCTTGGACATGGTGGGTTCTCCTCAGCATTTGTTGGCCCAATGGATGGTGGCGAAGCTGCAGCCGTTAGGGAATTTGTTTTGAACTTAATGTGTGAGAGACACGTTCGAATTCATTGAGACGATATCTGAAATCAACCTTGTTAACAAAAGGATGATATCATTCGATGCCCAGTCGTTGTTCACATACATTCCATTGCTCGAAACCGTGGATTACGTATGCGAGCTTGCTCGGCAACTGCCCATATTGGCAACCTTTCCGGAGAATTTGCGAAAGGAGGTGCTACTTCGTTGCACGTTAAATGTTCTGTTCACCTTCAATGGTGAAATGTACCCTCCGATTGACGGAGTGACCATGGGATCTCCTTTGGGGCCGCTGCTGGCTGATATTTTCATGGTGAAATCGGAACATTGCCCACTTGCAACGCATATCCGTGAAACCGAAATCTACGTACGGTACGTTGACGACACCTTCGTACTTTGCAAATCCGAAAAGCATGCGGAACAGTTGCTGAAAGCTTTCAATGACGTACACGAGAATCTCCACTTCACTTGTGAACACGAACACGGAAACCGGTTACCTTTCTTGGATATAGAGGTTATCCGTAACTCGGACGGATCATGCAGCAGAAAGGTACACAGAAAGCACACATGGACTGGGCAGTACACTAACTTCTACAGCGCAGTACCTCTACAGCATAAGCGGAGTTTAATCAGATCTCTCGCCTTCAAGGCGCGCCGTATTTGTACAGCGGATACCGTCAAGGAAGAACTACAGAGAATCAGCGATGTTCTCAGGGAAAATGACTATCCTGATAAATTTATCATGAAGTATTTGAAGGAACGTAATCGAAAGCTACCTAGGAGCATTGCTCCTAAGAAAGAGCTTTTCATACACATATCCTTTAAGGGCGATTCTGCAGCTGATATGTTATCCCGACACCTAAAATATACTGTTGAGAAAACTTATTTTGCGGCTCGCCTGAGAATCGTTTTTCACAACAAGTCGTTGCTTACGAAACCCTTGAAGGATAGACTGTCGTCGATCACACGTTCAATGATCGTTTATCAGTACTCGTGCTACTGTGATGCACGATACGTGGGTCGCACGACGAGGCGCCTATCTCAGAGGATTCGTGAACACATCCCGGCATGGTTCTACAAAGGCGAAATGAAGTCTTCAGACAGGTCAATCTCATCGCACCTCCAAGAATGTGGCCATAGAGTTTCAGAGAATGACTTCAAAGTCATCTAATCACTACCTGAACACTTCCCCCAAGTATTGCGCAACACAGCTATTATCCATCGCCGAGGCTATCTACATTCACCATGTGTACAAAAACCATTCATACGGCCGATCCTACTACCTTGGCTAACGGACACTGTTACATAGTTTTTTGGTTGTTATCTTACCTACTTCATTACTTCGGACTAGTGAGCTTTGTGCGTGCATGTTTATTTAGTTTACATGGTTTACCATCTCTATCCCTGTCTCAAAGTTTTGATTTTGATCATTCAAACAGTCCAGAAGTAAATCCCAGCCCGAGTTGACGTTTACCCCATAATCAGTGCTATGTAAACGTTTAGGTCCGATAAGAGTTGACCGAAAAGAATTCTTCACCCTGAACTGATTTCTGATATTGATTCATATTAATGAATATGAAAGCCTAAGTAGGTCGTTTGAGCTCTTCAGAAACTCTGCTATGTGGTATGTATAGACTTAACTCCGACCGTACGGACAACGGTGAGCGTCTGTTACAACTATGTGCGGAGCGTCGGCTACTACTTAGTAGCAGTGCTCTTAGACAGTGGGCGCCAAGTGCCACCTGGCGTCCACCTACAGCTGACCAGCGATTGACCCACATAGATCACATGGACATAAATAAAAGGTGGCGTGGTTCTATTCTGGATTGCAGCTCATTCTGGAGTACTTGCGTCTACTCTGATCATGCCTTGGTATGCTGTCGATTTTCCACGAACTTTAGCGAGAGGCATACCAAAGTGTTCCCTCGATTGACAAACGAGTAGTTATCCCAGCCCTCCGTCAAGCAAGCCTACCAGGATGCTCTGCGTACCGAAGGTTCTCTCTCGTCCTAAACACATTGAGCTTCAGTGGAATAGGATCTCTTTCTTCTTGCTTGATGCAGGGGCCTCTGCTTACAGCACTATCAATCGTCATCGCAGCACTCACTGGATATCTGTGAGGTCTATGAACATGTTGGAATCCAGAAGGAAACCCGGATGGCTCTGCACATAACATACTGAACAAAAGCGGAGCCAGTGTGCTCACAAGGAAGCCTGGTGGACGAATCGGGCTCAAGAAATGGAGGAGGCGGAAGCAATAGGTAATAATCGCAAGCTATTCCAGCTGATCCGCACCATTAGTCCCAGAAAACCATGCGTCAGTGAGACGATCAGACAGCGCATGTGCTTTGGTTCACAATAAGGAGCGCCGTATGACTCGTTGGGCGAATCACTTTCAGGATCAGTCCAGTAGTTCTCACGCTTATGGACCTCTTCCTACTCAATTGCTGCAGGCTGAGTCATGGCCGATTGGTTAAGAGGTTCCGTCGCAGGCTGAGGGCCGAAACGCGATCGCAGCCATTAAGCTTAATCTATTTGCATTTGTTTATTGCACTTGAACACGAACATCTAAGTCAACTGAAACCAGCTAAAAAAAATGATAAGACATTGCCTTGTTAACTGGATGTAAATCTCGATCGTTGTACTGGAAAGCCGGATCGTTTACCCGAGTGATGACAGTGTAACCTCACATTTTGGCCTACACATTTGTAGAATTTTGCATTTTTGATAGCGTCAATATAGTCTACCTACAGTTAATCATGTAATATGATGAAAATGAACCAATATGAGTACATGAAGCTCATCTTGACTGGAGTTGAAGTAACCTAATTGCGACACACAGGGATGACAAAGCCGCCAGTGAATCGTTTCACTACACCTAGTGGCCGCTCGCAGTAATAGCTAAAACCGGTGGCGTATCGGTTTAGTCTTGTAATGATACTTGGCACCCTGAAAGGGGATAGCACATGTCGAAGCGTGCTGCGTTAATGCAGCAGCAGTGATTGCTTAGCCAACGCATCCAACACAAAACCTATGTCGTCTACATCCTCAATGTTTGCCAGTTGGTTACCGAACGAAAGGCCCATATCAGGAAAAGTTGAGAGCTTAGTCAATTAGTCATTTCGATCACAAAGTTTGGAAAGAAAGGAGATTTAGAGCAACGCCAACGAACCCCAAATGTCGTGGGGAATTCGAGGGACAGCTCCCTGTGAATCCTCGAAGATCGCAGTAGTAGAATTTCAGAACAGAAGGAATTTTCCCTTGCACGGACTTCAGGGATGGACAGCACAACAGGCTGGCACGATCCACGGAGCTGAAAGTGACTTTCAAGTCTAGGGGAACCAGAAAAGCAGGTTGTCTGTATAGGTGTGGTTGCGCCAACAAACTGCTAGTTAGCACCACTATGAGTAGGTTGGCGAAAAGGTAGCGTTAAATGAGGATTCCGTGTGAAAATGATGAGAGTACAGTGTTTACATCCTGGGTATACAAGAAACATAACGGTGATCCGAAGCAGTAAACTGTAACTGAGCGCGACAAACCTCTGTGGCAACAGAAGTCGCACAGGTTGGGAGGGCAATGCACTATCGAGCCCGATGAGTTAATCTGACACAATTAACCTATGAAGTCGAATTAAGAAGCAAAAGATTGCATGCAACAGAGGAACCGAGTTGTCAATAATCTCGATGAGATCCTGCACACTGTTGAGGCTGAAAGTATAAGACGAAAAGGTGAGAGGTGAAACAGGGAATAGTAGTGTGAAGAGACCTTCATTGTTTCGAAACACGGAGAGGGTATACGTTAACCAGTGGCGGTTACAACCTACTGTAAGTCACTGTTGGTGACCTTTGCCTCTAATGTGTGTTGTGTGATTCACCGCGGGGGGGGGGGGGGGGGGGGGAGGGGGGGGAGGGGGGGGGGGGGGGGGGGGGGGGGGGGGGGGGGCGGGGGGGGGGGGGGGGGGGGGGAGGGGGGGGGGGGGGGGGGGGGGGGGGGGGGGATGGGGGGGGGGGGGGGGGGGGAGGGGGGGGGGGGGGGGGGGGGGGGGGGGGGGGGGGGGTATTTGGGGGGGGGGGGGGGGGGGGGGGGGGGGGGGGGGGGGGGGGGGGTTTAATTTGGGGGGGGGGGGGGGGGGGGTGTTTTATTATAGGGAGGGTTTTGTGGGTAATGCGTGGGCTGGGTTAGGGTTAGATGGATGTGGTAGGATGTGGGGGTATATGTTAGGGTGTGAGGTGGTTTTTGGATTTTTAGGTGTATAGTATGTTAATTGGTTGGGGGGGATAGGTTTGTGGAAGGGTGGTGGGGTAAGTTGTGTTATGAGGGGGTTAGGGTGGGGTAGTTTTAGGTAGTGAGTGGGGGGGGTATGGAGAGTTAAGATATGTTGGATTGGTGGGATTTAAGTGGTTGTTGTGTATTAGTTTATGTTGTGTGATTGTGTGTTGGGTTTGGAGATAGAGAAGGTATTTTGGATTTGGAGGTGGGATTGGAATGGTTGAGAATATTTGAGGTATTATTGGTGTAGGAAAATGGGTGTTGAATGGATAGGGTCGATAAGGAAGCGGCGTATACACAGCTACGACCCTACATAATTCACGGAATGACACCAATCGGGTTAACTAGTCAAAAACTATACTTAATGTAAAGCAAGTGATTAGCAGTGATGGATATAAAAGAGAATGATTGGAAGTAACAAGCGGCTCGATTAAGCGAGCGAGGAATGAAAAGTTAAAAGAGTTATAGTGCTGAGTACGGTGGCGAGTTTGGTTCAAAGCGAACAATAAGTGCAACCGGAGAGTAACTTACCAAGGAAATGGGTGCAGCAACCATTTTGGGTCAAACTACCACTAGAGGTATTTTGCTTGAAAAGAGAGAAGACGTCGGCGTTGCGAGTGAAAACGTAGCAAGCCAGAGGCTTTTCCCTGAAGCAAACACAAATGGATTAAATAGACCACAGACGTTATTTTACTAACTTGGAGCGGATATAGTTCACTGCCTCCTCGGGAGAGTCAACTTTCATGATAGGCAGGATAGGACCGAATAGCTAAATGGAGGTGATGGAAGAGACACCGCTTTGTGAGAAATGAGAGGATGGAATGGCATGGGGATAGGATGAAAACAGGAAACTACATTGCGCCAAAAGCCCTCTAAACGAATACGCAAAGCGGAGTCAGCCAACTGAGGGATTAAACCCAAACAGTACATTTATGCTCGTAAAAAAAGTGGTAAAGCGCTTGTAGTCAGTGAAATCGGATAGCATATCCCTCAGCACTCACAACAACGGGTCGCATGGCACACAGATAAGTTACCAGACACAGAGGCTAGCGGAGGACCGCGTCGGCCGTCATTTGACATATATATATATATATATATATATATATATATATATATATATATATGTGTGTGTGTGTGTGTGTGAAGCAGCCTACAAATAGACGCAGAGCCACCGAAAAACGATGAGAAAAATAAAAAGTACGAATGTTTGGAACAGAGAACAAATATGTTGGGCTTTTGGTTGTCTTCCTTGTTTTCACACCACGTTGTTAATTTTTGACAATTTGAATGATATGGCCATAAACACATGTTCAAAATTTTGCAATATACAGTTCTTCCAGGGATTCCGGTTTCCCACCATATCGCCCAGTGTGTCGAAACCTTGGCAGTTCTCATCCTAGGGCCCCCAAGCAGGAAGCCGTACGCAGCCGACGACGGTGAGACGAGTCAGTGATTTCATGGTTTGCCGCCAAGTGGTTGGCTGCCCTCCACGCCTTCTCTTCGAATTCAACCCCTTGCGAGCAAATAAGGCGCGGCGTGGCAAGCGCTAGCATGACATACATAGAACGTTGCCAAACCACCACAAATGACGCATTGCGACAATGCGATCAAGTAGAGAGCTCATGCTCCCACAGACACGACACCGGACTTCATCGTTGCGAGCCCGGTGCTGCCACCACACCCGCTATCCGCCGCAAACTTGTGTTGTCAGAGGCCGAAAGCCTACGCATGTCATTCACACGAATCGGCCAGGACTCATTTCCATATAAAAGGACAGCGCGGACACGTTGTAGACCGTCCCGATGACACCACATATGAATCTGATGCATCAGTAGTACGCCGGTACTCAGTATCGACGATTGGCTGCCGCGCAACTAGCACCAGTCGCGCGTGGGCTAAGGGTACTACAAGAGTTGCCCGGTCCCCTACGCAGGCTCGAAACCACAAGGTAGGCTTGTGACCCTTAAGGCCATTGGCCGGCAATCAATGCAGTTAGTTGACAAGGACCCGACTACCCAAGCGCAATGGTGGAAAATGACTAAAAACATGGGCGAATCCGCACAAAATACGAAAAAAGAGCTCGGAAAGAAACCAGTTAGAAGATGAAACAGTAACATCAAGAGTGGAAAAACATAATGCAAGACGCCATCAAATTGGAACAAAATTAATACAGGATCAAGTCGACGGATACTGGTGGAATCGATTGCGTCGCATAGTAGTTGAGACACAAAATGGGTAATGGTTAAGTTGGTTGCAGAGCCAAAGTTTAAAGACCGTGTGTTGGAGTTAGGACAGCGCATCCGTTCAGTTGATTTAGCAGACTGATAAGTAGTACTGCAACGTCTTAGAATATCTAACTGTAAAGTGTAAGGAGTGGAATGAAAAGGGATATGATGGAAAATGGGAAAAATACCTCTTCCGACATCAAGGAGTCATTCGGCTGGACGTCCACCACAACAGTGGGCGAAATGTACAGGTCCTCCTCATCCGTCATACCTCCAACAATAATTTTGCCCTTAGTTTCTCGGAGTAAACTGATCAGTCGTCTGCGAAAAAATAACAAACGATGCAAGCACAGTGCTCTGTACAGTGGACGTCTGGGATGGGTTTACATAGCCCTGTACCCAAAAAGCAGTGCAAGGGGGTGAAAAACGGTGCGGCACAACAAAACGAACGTCAACGGGAAATCACGGACCTGAGACTAGTCCCAATGCCAAGCTGGTTATGCGTTCCAAGTTTCAATGGTGTAGAATGAAAAGATGGGGATCAACAAGGGGACGCAACGATTAACCGACAGTACTTACTCCGTTTTCTTACGGCCAAACGAACCTCAAAGCACATATGCAGTGGGCGTTTTGAGGTAGAAACCGAACGGGACTAATTCGGTATGTTAACAGAGACGTAAGCAGAGCCAGTGATTATATACGTTGCGCGCGGGCTTACCGCAGAGCACGTGAGCTGTCTGATGCATGTGAGGGTTATCAGCACGGGTGTGGAACGACCTTCAACTGTTCCGACAAATATGGGAATCGGGTGCGAATTGATTGGCCAGCAAATACAAATCCTCGTCAAAGGAGGCGAACCATTCTGCAAAATATGGTAAACCCGTGGGACGGAATTCACTCACATTGGGTGAGAACTAGACGCAGAAGAGTGGGCGGTATAGACTTCCAGAATTAGTATGTTTCGTTCACCAATAAGTAGGGATGACTTATCTTGTAGAATGTCCCCTGTCTAGCGAGCCGGCTGGGCGGTGGCTGAGCAGACAGACGGTCGCAGTCTCACAGGATGAAGCAAAGCAGCAGTACGACATATGTAGCCAAGAAAAATGCGTGACCAACAAAATCTGGCAACGAGCGCCAATTTGACGGAAGAGATACAGTGTCGGTGTTGCTGATTCGGCGCATGCATAAGGATCTGTGAGTGACCGGACCTGCCCAAACACTGTGCGCAATTTCATCTTACCGGCATCAGTGGTGGTAACTAAAGGGTACCTAAGCAAGAGAGATACGGCAGGGATTGTGACTAATCGGAAGGCAAATCCAGCGTCTTATTTCGAGGGGGCACATGCGAAAGTGAAGAAAAGTATGGGGACATCAGAGTAACTAGTATTGCCTTGTGGTTACAAAAAGGACATGAGACAAAAACTAGACTGCTTTGTCCCATACGTTATGATGTGGAAAAGTTAGATAACTCGGAAACCGTGTGATGGTGTCCGGTAGTTTTGGCGAATATGACTGTACCTTTGCTTAGACAATGGCGTCCATAGCGCAATAAACTTCCTCCATAGACCTCTCAAGATGGTGCCTAGTGCATTCAATTTGCACCCAACAGAGAAGAATGCTTCTAACTGCTACGGTTCATAAAGAAACCAATCCCACATCAGCCAACAGCATCTCACTCTGCGTACTTATCGGGAATGCTACCTGCTTATCTGAGATAAGTCATCCAGCGAACAGTACGTATGGAACGTTAGTGTCAGTATGATGCAACCTAAGAGCATTCAGGACCATCTTGAGAGATCTATGGAGTAACATGGTTTCCTTAGGGAGAATTTGATAGCGCTAGGGATGCAGTTGGCGGCATCCAGTTCCGGAGGTGCCTGTCAGTGCGGCCTTAATAGGACAGTCACTAGACGACTGCGCCTACCGAGAGACCATGGGTGGCTTGCGCTGCACCAACCACACACCCCATATCCAGTGTAAACCCGAAGGAATAAGACCGGGAGGCATGCGGATGGGAGCCAGGTTTTATCAGCAGAGCCGGCTCACACTCCTCCACAGGCAAACACAAGCATGCGGTATTTGGGAAATCAAGCGCACACAAGGCGGTGGCTGGACTGTAGTCCGCTCCACACACAAACCGTGTGCATAGAACCAACATTTGAGCCTAGCACGGTCACGAGGACCGTCATGCAATCCCTTCCAAGAACGACCATCTGCTTCCTAGAGCCAGTGTGAACGAGGTGGTGGGTAACAGACAGTTAGGCGCCTTGTCAACATGCACAGCAAGCGCAGCCACATCGGGGATGTTAAGCAACAGCCAATCACTGGCAATGACGATATAAAATAAAATAAATCGAATAATGGATACGGATATGCTGACTTGCCTCATCACCAAGTTAGCACATGAAATAACTGTGTTATCCACATATCCGCGATAAAGGAAGATGGCAGAACAACATAACAAAAGAACATTTGCAACAAACGCGAAGGAAATTAACGAGATTAACCACTTTTCGTTTAAGCGACGAGAGTATGTAAATAGATTATTCAGATAGACATTAAAATGGGGTAACCAAATAAGTATTAGCAAAACAAGGCAAACCAATCACCTGAAATAAAAAAAACTCAGCACGTAAGCACGCCGTTAGTAAATCGAATGCAGCGTACTTACCAACGCAGCGCCGGTTCTGCTCACGTGGTAAGGCTTACAAAGCGTGTGGCAGCCGCATGCGCACAGCTGTGCTCACTCCCAGATCTCATAAGATATAGCTCTCACAGACAGCATTTTCTTTTGCTCCGTAGCCAAATGACACATTCGCCTTTTGCATGTTGCTCGGTTCTATGTGGGTTACAATTGGTTACGATTATGGTCAATGACAACCGTCTGGAAGCAACTTGCAGCGACCAACTTTTCATCACCCCATGGTCGCCTGTTGTATGCCTGCGCTGTTGGTAGGTTGTTTGCACTTGGCTTCTGGATTTTTACATTGTACCCTTGTGTCTCCTATCCGGTCCCTTATTATAGGTCTTCATTCATGGGGTGATTATGGTTGTAGGGCAAAGAAACATCAGCACTGTGTACTGATGTGATGATGCTTCTGCTTTTTCTGTTATTGGTGGCGTTGAACTCAAGTCAGGATACGCTTTATACACCCGTGTGGGAGCATTTTCAGCAATTCTCGCCATCGCTGCGGATACACTGAGACAAAACATCAGTAGGGAAAATGCAGTGATGAGAAAAACAAAGATTGTTCATTCTCAATCGAGTAAACGGTCTCGCAATTGATGCATCATTGTTTTGGGGTCGACTAACGTGCAAGACATAGAGCAAGTTGCAGTTCCGATACGACGGATTACGAGAACATTAAACTGGATTTTAACCGTACCGGTTGGAACTAGTGGACAGAGGGTGAGTGACCCATTAGCATCTTGGATGAAAAGTTGAAGCATGCATCAAACTGCTTGCTAACGAGGGATTATTCCTTTAATCCAGGACATCGGGGAAGGAGGAGGTGGTGCTGGCGGTGGTGAATGAAAATCGCGATCATGATTTATGTTAGACCATCCTCTATTCCTTTTACTGTTCCCTATAGTGGATTCCCCTTCCTTGATTCTTTTTTATATGGAGCCGATATGTCGTGCCGCAATTCTCATGGACCGTTTTCGTTGTTGTTTTTGTTGCTGCTTTTGATAGGGATGATGATGACTACTCGGTTGTCCTATGTATCAGTTGCGCTCTAACCCCTTTCCTAAATCTGTCGCATTTCTCTCCCTGATTTTCCTTTTATTTTGCTGCTTTTCCTTGTCCGCTTTTGTGCACCTGAATTATCAGTCCCACTCATTTTTCCATTGGATTTAGCCTTACGTTTCTTCGTGACTACCCCTAACATTTGTCTAAATCCTGAGGGCGTTTATCCACTGGCCCTCAACTTTGCGGACATTGCATCCACTTATCTTCAGTCTAGTGCAGCCTAAGTTCCGGAGTTGGAAGGTTGCTTGTAGCTGCGAATGCAATTTCATCTTGGTAGAAGCACTCTTGCACGGGTTAAATGTGTTTGCCCTTATCTCCGCGTTATTCTATCATTTCTTCCACTTGAGCCGAGTTTTCGTAATGATCCTGCTGCACGCAGATGTCATTTTAATTTCTGGGAAGCACTTTGATTGTGCGGCAGTTTGCTATTTTGTCCAATCAGTCCAAGTTATTGGATGACGCTACGGCCCAAAACCCCGTACTCTGTTAATGTTTCAGCTAATCCCGTGTTACCTTACCGACACCTACCCAACTGTTTTTGGGAATCAGAAAGTAGCTCTTGGATGTATCCACTAAGGGTATAGCAGTTACCAGATTTCGGTCCATTTCGCTAGATTCCTTCGAAGGGAGTGATCTTTTGCCTTGTCAGCGCACATCATCTTGTATGATAATACCTACAGAATTGTTGTGAACCTTTATACTGATATGCTTTATTAATTTAGCAGTCTCCTGAATTCTCCCCTCACCAATTTGCTCCTCAGGAACTGAGCTGCATTTTGAACAATCACTACATTCAAAAGAATTTTTGTTTTGTATTTATTATGTTGATGTAAGCAATACATCGGCGGTTGCGCCGGAATGCTGACAATTGCTGACAATTTCTTCGTTACAGAACGTCTGTCAAGTTATATGCGGAGGTTTAGAAGTTTGCCAAAACTTGTTGGCTTTACGATTCGATCACATATTCTTCACCGGCGGCACTGTTGGCGCACGAGCTGTATACACGGCTGCCGCCAACTTCCTCACATCCGTAACTCTGGAATCGCGTGGGAAGTGGTAAGTCCCAAGAGGGGTTTCACATGCTTCTTAGTCAGAGATTGCGGCCAACGCGAAATGCATGTTGCAATTGTTTTCAACTTTTTATTCTTCTTAGTTCCTTCTGCTTTTTAGAGATAATTCACCACGGTCCACTCTCAGTCAGCAGGCTTTGGCTAGTCTGGAAAAGCACCAGACACTGATGTTTAGACCTTCTGGGTCTCGTCAGTGGTGCGCCTTCCAGAGGACCTCTTCTAGGCTCCGTCCCCATGACTTCCGGATGCCAGTTCGACATAGGTGACAGCCGCGGAACTGCATGATTGACATTTGGGTATGATATAGCCCGGCTCATCTTCCACTGCCATGCCAGTTACAAACTGTGCAGAGGACAGCAGTTAGCCCCACAAGCTTGGACTTTCCGCATGGCGCTCTGGTACGACACAAAGACATTGAAGCTATACGGATAACCTTTATATCACTAATCATTTTACCGTGTGCGAATGAGAAATTTTTGAGGTTTCGTGCTTATGTAAAT